TCAGGAGTAGTATACTATATAAACTGATGATGACAATGTAAATTGTTGAAACGTTGTGTACAATAAAACTCAGGAGTAGTATACTATATAAACTGGTTATGACAATGTAAATTGTAGAAACATTGTGTACAATAAAACTCGGGAGTAGTATACTATATAAACTGATGATGACAATGTAAATTGTTGAAACATTGTCTACAATAAAACTCAAGAGTAGTATACCATATAAACTGATGATGACAATGTAAATTATTTAAACATTATGTACAATAAAACTCAGGAGTAGTATACTATATAAACTGATGACGACAATGTAAATTGTTGAAACGTTGTGTACAATAAAACTCGGGAGTAGTATACTATATAAACTGATGATGACAATGTAAATTGTAGAAACATTGTGTACAATAAAACTCAGGAGTAGTATACCATATAAACTGGTGATGACAATGTAAATTGTTGAAACGTTGTGTACAATAAAACTCGAGAGTAGTATACCATATAAACTGGTGATGACAATGTAAATTGTAAAAACATTGTGTACAATAAAACTCAGGAGTAGTATACCATATAAACTGGTGATGACAATGTAAATTGTTGAAACGTTGTGTACAATAAAACTCGAGAGTAGTATACCATATAAACTGATGATGACAATGTAAATTGTTTAAACATTATGTACAATAAAACTCGAGAGTAGTATACTATATAAACTGATGATGACAATGTAAATTGTTGAAACATTGTGTACAAACTCGAGAGTAGTATACTATATAAACTGATGATGACAATGTAAATTGTAAAAACATTGTGTACAATAAAACTCAGGAGTAGTATACCATATAAACTGATGATGACAATGTAAATTGTAAAAACATTGTGTACAATAAAACTCAGGAGTAGTATACCATATAAACTGATGATGACAATGTAAATTGTAGAAACGTTGTGTACAATAAAACTCAAGAGTAGTATACCATATAAACTGATGATGACAATGTAAATTGTTTAAACATTATGTACAATAAAACTCAGGAGTAGTATACCATATAAACTGATGATGACAATGTAAATTGTTTAAACATTATGTACAATAAAACTCAGGAGTAGTATACCATATAAACTGATGATGACAATGTAAATTGTTGAAACATTGTGTACAATAAAACTCGAGAGTAGTATACCGTATAAACTGGTGATGACAATGTAAATTGTAGAAACATTGTGTACAATAAAACTAAGGAGTAGTATACCATATTACGGAAGAGTATTAGGGCCATTCATTTTTTTTTTCGAATTTTCATGTTAGTATGTTGAATTTTCAAGCTAGTATGTTGAATTTTCAAGTTAGCATGTTGAATTTAGTATGTTGAATTTTCAAGCTAGTATGTTGTATTTTCAAGCTAGTATGTTGAATTTTCAAGCTAGTATGTTCAAGTTAGTATGGTAAATTTTCAAGTTAGTATGTTGAATTTTCAAGTAAGTATCTTGAATTTTCAAGTTAGTAACTTGAAAATACAACGACTTTTCAAGTTAGTAACTTGAATTTTCAAGTTAGTAACTTGAATTTTCAAGTTAGTATGTTGAATTTTCAAGTTAGCATGTTGAATTTTCAAGTTACTAAATTGAACATTCTAACTTCAAAATTCCCCAAAAAAAAATGAATGGCCCTAATACGCTTCCGTACCATATAATTGTGTTCTGTTATTTAATGTGATTTCTACCCCTCAGTGTCGTTTAAGAATACATGTATATTATGATTTGTTAGGGAAAATGAGTCAAAAGATGTAAGTTACTGGCGATTATGGTACTACAGAGGGGTAAAAATTCTGAGCCAATGACTTTTTTTGAAATATTCTCTGATCAGTCTACTACAAAATCAGGTGTTCTGGAAAAAATACCAGTGAATTTAAACTACATTCATTGCCCGTGAAAGCAGTCTTTCTCAAACATGTGACCAGTCAGTATCATCGCGGAAGAAGTAGAAAATAATGGCTATAATAACTTTTTTGAAACCAATACAAAAGTCGTACCTATTAACCAAATCACAGTACAGTGTCGTGTCACGTACACTTACAGAGATGAGGGGACAGAATAAAAGAGGAATAAAACGAAATCAACACTTTGGTTTGTGGTCCAAGTATAAAAATTAAGGGTAGTCAACAAGGAGGAAGACTGTCAATTTACGGGCATCTTCAAAATGTCAAGCTAATACAAACTTCGTATTATACCTTGACTGCAATTACCACTTTTACTGTATCATGGAAGATTGTAAATGTAGCGAATACAGTCAATAAGAACTCTCGACAGAACGATTTTTAACCATAAGCAATAGTGTTTACAATGCAATCAAATCACTGCATTCTGTGATACAAGGATTGCAGTCAAAGTAAAAGACGCAGTTCGTAATAGCATCCCCAATTGTGAAGATGATTAAAGGTATAATTTGTCTTCGCCGCTAATAGAAGTTAATTTCAGCTACCTGCATATTACTTTTCAGAATGAAATCTTAAACTTCTTTAGTATATAATATAGTTTTTTCCGATCAGTGTTCTTACAGTCATTACGTATTCTACAGTGTACATTGGAAATTTCCTGAATACTTAAACTGACGTCACTGTTGAGCTGTATCAGCTGGTATACTTTGATGACTGTATCAATTTATAGGAATACTTCCGCTTAGAATTGTCTCAAATTTGTTCAATAAGAGTATATATTCATCAGTTGGACTAGGTTTCATTACTAAAGAATAGAATCTCTTTATAAGACGATAAACTTAGTGGATATTGAAAAACGCTTATAAGTGTGTTTCACAATTACTTAGTGGATTAGTAATTTTAGTAGTTATATGGATTAATGGGATTCTGTCGTATAGTTTTGACATCAGATATGTCCACTAATGAACAAAGACTCATTTTGGCCAAGTTTATAAAAGTCATTTTCAGTCATCCTAAGAGGTAGTATACCTTTAAAATCAAAAGTTAAATTATAGGAAGAGTCAAGTTACATGGAAGTCGATGTGACGAAGCTAGAGACCAAATTCACGACACTATGTTAAAAATAGAAAACCACTTAGACGAGGCCGTGTGTAAGTATCTGAAATTCCCAATTATCATCGATGCAAATTTTAACTGCCTTATCAAATATAAAGTCTAGCTCACTTGTCGCCGGTATCACGTTTTTAGACACGAGTTGCTTCCCTTAGCCAGAAGTTGTCTCTCCCTGAGAATGTTTTTGGATTTATGAACAATAGAGAACGCGTTGGTAAACCCCAGAGGCCATGTTGAGGAGCAAGTTTTGTTGGAGCGACGCGTTTTGTCTTACTTTATGTATTGTTAATGAGATTGGGTATAATGGAGTCGTGACGTATGGTCTCCTTCGATGATGCAGACTCCACCAGGTTGTAGACGAACGCCAAACACATTACAAATAGTCTAGTTCACTGGTTGTTGAACTGACCGAGCCTTCAAGGCACAAGTTGCGCCCCTTATTTCATCATCATTTTTAAACCCCAGCAAAGAGTCCTTGTCGGTTTATAAGTCAAAACGTGTTTTAAAAAAGTATTACAGTATTTAAAACAATGTCCCTCGTAAAATCACAATGGAGATTAGAATTATCAGAAAGCATAACAATACGTAATTTAGTATTTAATCTATTAAAATATCTTGTGAAAAAAAAAAGAAATTAAACTAGCTATGTCAAATAACTAATGATTTAATTTTTCTCTTTCGTCTTTATATCAGTGACACTGAGAGATCGTGGAATAAGTGCATTGAAAAAAAAGCGACCATCAAACCTAAACAGTCAGAGTTATGGTCAGTGGGCGGTGAAAATAAAACGATCCACCATGGAAATCATCGGACAGACAGAGGAGGCAAAGGCGTTAACACGTACTATAATTGTTACTGCTAGGCAACTAGAGGTAAGTAATAATATATGCGATATAAACTATTCTGATTCATGTGTAAAATGGTTATAAACTATTCTTTAATGAATATAAACTATTCTGATTCAGGTGTACAAGGCTTCAATGAATATAAACTATTCTGATTCAGGTGTACACGGCTTCAATGAATATAAACTATTCTGATTCAGGTGTACAATGCTTCAAAGAATATAAACTATTCTGATTCAGGTGTACAATTCTTCAATGAATATAAACTATTCTGATTCAGGTGTACACTGCTTCAATGAATATAAACTATTCTGATTCAGGTGTACAATGCTTCAATGAATATAAACTATTCTGATTCAGGTGTACAATTCTTCAATGAATATAAACTATTCTGATTCAGGTGTACACTGCTTCAATGAATATAAACTATTCTGATTCAGGTGTACAATGCTTCAAAGAATATAAACTATTCTGATTCAGGTGTACAATGCTTCAATGAATATAAACTATTCTGATTCAGGTGTACAATTCTTCAATGAATATAAACTATTCTGATTCAGGTGTACAATGCTTCAGTGAATATAAACTATTCTGATTCAGGTGTACAATTCTTCAATGAATATAAACTATTCTGATTCAGGTGTACAATGCTTCAATGAATATAAACTATTCTGATTCAGGTGTACAATGCTTCAGTGAATATAAACTATTCTGATTCAGGTGTACAAGGCTTCAATGAATATAAACTATTCTGATTCAGGTGTACACTGCTTCAATGAATATAAACTATTCTGATTCAGGTGTACAATGCTTCAATGAATATAAACTATTCTGATTCAGGTGTACAAGGCTTCAATGAATATAAACTATTCTGATTCAGGTGTACACTGCTTCAATGAATATAAACTATTCTGATTCAGGTGTACAATGCTTCAGTGAATATAAACTATTCTGATTCAGGTGTACAATTCTTCAATGAATATAAACTATTCTGATTCAGGTGTACAATTCTTCAATGAATATAAACTATTCTGATTCAGGTGTACAATGCTTCAATGGATATCCACGACCTGGTGAGGTTATCTGATGTTTTAGAATATCTAGAGCGAAACCTGACAGACAACCTGGAAAAAGATAAACATTTCCCCGTGGAAGATGAGTTATCAAAATATTTTACAGGTAAGATATATTAATCGTATTTTAAATCTTCCGTTTCCTGTCTAATATAGTTTGTATGCGATAACAATTCCTTGGTATAAAAGAGTAAGTTTAGGTCGCTGTCAGTTCTGTTTCACTGCAAAACTATATTACTTTGCCCTTGACTCAATGTTCTACTCAGAAACACTTTTGTTGTCGAATAGAAAATGGGTCAAATTATAAGCTAAAGTTGAAGCACATTTTTACCTTATGGGGTAATTTTTCTTTTCATCAAACAAGGATTCATCAGCAAACGATTAAAGCATTAAATGTTATGGTCTGATATCGTAACTTAGAAATAATGATAGGGTAGACATTGGTTTTATTTCTCTCCATATTCTTTTTCTATTGTAGGCCTGAAATTAAATTTACGAAAAATTGCCATCAAAGATGAAAATCCAAATTTAAGGATTTTAAAGGATGAGATAATAAAATTACGGAACGAGAAAGGAGATGATTCGTTGGGTATAATTTTTGTCAGAACTCGAGGAACGTGTTATGCTATTCGTGATTGGATGAAGTCGGATAGAGAGTTAAGGAAATTAAATTTCTGAACCATTCACCGGAGCTGGTGCTCATGAAGAGGAAGGAGGTCTGTTAATTTACTGATTATGGAGGTTGCATTTCGTAATGGTATTGCTTATATTAGATTATATTCCATGGCAGCCATATAAATTTGATAAAAATTGCAAATCTTAATTTTTCGTTTTGTGTAAAATCCTCTCGTTACTACGCTGGTATTTCATCATCTGTTGAAATTGTAATAAATCTCTTGTTCTTACTTATAATATTCTATATTTTTAGATTTTATTAGAATACGTGACGAATGTGCGATATTCATTGTGAAACATAGACTTATTATAATCTTACCACTTTTAACAGTGTGTCTGATTGGTTGATTGGTTTGATAGATCATGTCCATAGCAAACTTATTCTTTTCGAAACACCTGATGATACTTCTCATTTGAGCAGTTCACTAGTATGCAATTATTCCCCCCAATTTTTGTCATTTCTAACACGACATTTTTGCTTCACGGCATTATTTTGATTGTACGGATTTTTATGACAATTCCACAGAACTCAATTTAAAGGCAAATCTCGCCAGATGATGGATGACAATTGTAATAACCTCTGAGCAAAGGTGAAATAAAAACCACCTTTTAATAAGGCCGTAACTAGGGTATTTTTTCTAAGGCAAAAATCATGTTGTCTTCATTTCGTTTATATTTTTTTAGTGTAACGGGATTTATCGTTGAAATCAAATGTATATCTTTAATTGTTTTAAATGAAATGTCTTTTTTGTCAAAATCGGCATGATACATTTGCCACACTTGGCTTGATGTCACTGTAGACTACAGACTCTTTGAGAGTATATGTTTATTGACCGACCAAAATATCTTTTCTGTTGACTAGAAGCGAGACTGTGGTTTGTTTTATAGGAATGACACAGAACGAACAGGACGCTGCTATAGAAAGGTTTAGATCTGGTGAAACCAAGTTTCTGGTAGCTACTAGTGTAGCCGAAGAAGGAATGGACATTCCAGATTGTAATATAGTGATACGATACAATCATGTGGGCAATGAAATAACTACTGTTCAAACTAGAGGTATACTTTTTTTTAATTTAAGAATACAGTTTTAGTTTGAAGTACATTAAAATTTGAAGGGATTTTGCTATTTTATTTTCGTGCAGTTCTAGTACTTCTTAAGACTATAATTTACGTATCTGCAAGACCCAAATCAACTTCTCAAAATGACGAATCTGTCCCTTAAAGAGACACACACATAATGCCTTATCTTGGAAGTTACAATTGTAAGCATGCAGCGACAAGATAAAAAAACAAGACAGTTATATAAAGTGGATAAAAAATGATAAATATTTGCCATCTGTGCGATGTTCTCCAGGTTAACTTTTTGTCTGAAGTCATTCTGCAATCCTCGGCAGTGTCTGAATATGTTTTGGTAATTAATGACATTGTGTCTTCATGGGCGAGACTTGATTTGTCAAGTGATAGTAATATTGTGACCTAAATATAGTCCATAACTTAAGAGCATAACTGGGGGATAACTTTGGGAAAACTGACACTTTCAAACGCAATACATGTTATAATGTGACTATCTTTTTACCAATGATATATTTTAATATCAGTTTGAATCCAGATCTTACAGATGAATTGTTTTCATTGACTTTGCTTACAAACACTTGTAGTCGCGAACGACCACAATCATGTGATCACGTAGCGATATTGACATAGTTCCGGCAGACTATTGATGCCAATCATTACTGTGATATGCTACAGAGCTCAAGAGAAACTTTGGGTCGTTTGGTCGAAGTAAGTAAAGTTTTTTTTTTTAATTGTACTTGCAGGCAGAAGTCGAAAAAGAGGTGGGACATCGCTTCTGTTAGGAGTTGAAGAGGTATTACAAAGGGAAATTTTAAACATTGGAAGATCTAAAATGATGGATGATGCCATTCTCCAGTTCAGACGGATGTCTTTGCCCAAGGTGAAGAAACAGATCAAGGATCACCAAGAGAAGATAATCCAAGATGAAGAGCTGAAAGAAGAGGTCAGTAAAGGAAATCAAAAAAACAAAATTAACAGCCATTTTCAACTACTGTGTTTTAAATGTAAGGAATTAACGATTAACAACGAGTTCATCAAAACCATCAATAAAACCCATCACGTCGTTACTGACCCAGAATTTAGGTCAAAATTATACTTGAGGTCAGACCAATCACCACGGAATCCATTTGATGGAATCCAAATTACTGGTAAAATATATTGTAAGGAATGCAATAATCACCTGGGCGTCATGTTTCGGTACAAGGGTATTATGTTCCCATCGATTAGAATGGAGGGTTTTCAAATTGTAACATCTACCGGTCAACCAATGATGCGTAAGAAGTGGAAAGATTTGCCCTTCATGGTGAAGGAAATGAGTCATGAGGACTATCTGGGGATGATTTCTAGTAGAAGAGAGACACGGAATCCTGAGCGGAGAGATAATGATGTTATTGTACCGACCTGCCAAGATAATCAATTTGAAGAAGACATGGATGAAACGTAGGAAAATTTTCTTTCAATAGGAAGTAGATTGATAGGGTAGAGCATAGAAAGTGTTTCTACTTATAAATGTGCGAGTTTCCGTATGTTCTTATTCCCGTTAGGGCTTGAGCTTCTTTTTACTGCTACTATGATACTAAAACAGATTAACAGAGCTACTTAGTAATCATTCCTAATATAAAGATTATGTATAAAAGATACTGCTTGCTTGGGTTGAAATGTTTCTAATCATAAATGTTATCAATTATAAACAAATATTTGTACTTATTTTTTAATAGCTTGCAAGATATTACATACTTCAGAAAAAAATCACTATAATATGTAACGTTTTAGAATGGCCCTGTTGGACAAGCGTCTTAATATTAATCCTGATTTTAATTAGCTCCCTTTGTTGAATAAATTTTATTTTATAATGAGTTACACAAATGAGGCAAATGTTTTAATTGATATAGATTTAAAACAAAAAGATTTGTTACCAGCGTTTTAGATAATTTTTAACTATTTCATGAGTGCCGTGGCTTTTAAATAATTTATACACTTTTTAATATAATATATTTCATTTTTATCGCCTTTTTGTGACAATCACTATCTTCTTGTTTTAAGGTCAATTTTATGTTTATTTGAATTGTTTTATACGTTTGCACTTTATTTGAATTATTTATTTTATTTTTTAGAATTGAAATTTTAAGTGTTTTGTGCCTCATTTAGCTGGAAATCTCAATGGTCTAAAAGTTTTGGTATAAGTTTATAAACTAATTTATTATTATCATTCCTAAATTATAAAAAATATTTTTGACAATAAATTTTAACAATCAAGCAAACTGTCCTGTAATGGAAATTGCTAGCTCAGCGCCAGTTCACGAAGTAATGATGATTTTTATTGGCGTATATCGCCGTTGCCCCATTCGGTTGTCCGTCCATCTGTCAACATTTCTTGTAGACAAGATATAAGCTACAGTTTAAATCCGATCTTAATGATATCCTTTCCCCTGTTGTTGGAATACCAAAATACTCGAGGTAGATGTTGAATCTGATTAAGAGTTTTAACCAATCATAAATGACCATGTAAGAACAAACTGGGTAATAAAAAAGACCTTTTGACTTCTCCTGATCGGTCACTCGTGGAAATTTCCCAAGGAATTATCTTCTTAACTAGCTAAATACGAATTAATTATAGAGACAAAATTGTTATTTTTTCCCAGTCCAATGATCAAATAATTATATCTGAATGATTAAAAATAAGGTTACCCATATTTAAAGAATATTTAGAATTAAGATCCGTACAAGCAAAACAATCCAAAAATCTCGTCCAAAAAATGACAAGATTTGGAGCAATAATTGTATAGTGCAAGGTGGTGCACAAATTCGGGAATCAAAACATTTTACATCAAAAAACGAATATTTTTACAAGCTTTCATTTGGTCAAATCACAATTTCTTTCTATATTTTTCGTGTACACCGTGCTAGTTTATAATGATGCCGTCTTACTCACTGCATGTTATCACTAGCCCTTACCACCCTAGGGTCATAATATCATAAGCTCTTAGCACACTAGGATCATGATATCAGAAGGCCTTACCACACTAGGGTCATAATACCACATACATTCACCACCCTAGGTTCATAATATCACAGACATTTACCACCCTAGGATCATGAGATAAAAAGCCCTTACTACCTAGGTTCATTAGATCACATAACTTTACCAATCTAAGGTCATAATATCACCAGCGCTGACCATCCTAAGTGTAGATGTAGTTGTAAGTTTAACTCTAGGTCTTAACCTAGGCCTTACCCTTTTTTTAGGTCTTACTCTAAGCCTTACCCTAGATCTTACCCTACGTCTTACCCTAACCTAGGACTAACTCTAGGCCTTAACCTAGGTCCTACCCTAGGACTAAACATAGGTCTTACCCTAAGCCTTACTCTAGGTTTAACTCTAGGTCTTAACCTAGGCCTTACCCTGGGACTTACCATAGGTCTTACCATAGGTCTTACCCTAACTTTAGGCTTTAACCTAGGCCTCAACCTATGTCTTACCCTAGGCCTTTACCTAGGTCCTACCCTAACCTAGGACTAACTGTAGGTCTTACCTTAGGCCTTAACCTAGATCTTACCCCAAGCCTTACTCTAGGTTTAACTCTAGGTTTTAACCTAGGTCTTAACCTAGGCCTTACCCTTACCTAGGACTAATTCTAAGTTTAACTCAAGGCGTAACCCTAGGCCTTACCCTAGGACTTAGCATAGGTCTTACTCTGACCTAGGCATAACTCAAGGTTTCACTCTAGGCCTTAACCTACGCCTTAACCTAGGTCTTACCCTTAACAAGGCCTAACTCTAGGTTTAACTCTAGGCCTTAACCTAGGTCTTACACTAACCTAGGACTTACTCTAGGTCTTACTCTAGACCTTAACCTAGGCCTTATCCTTAGGACTAACTGTAGGTTTAACTCTAGGCGTAACCCTAGGCCTTACTCTAGGCCTTATCCTAATCTACGACCTGCTATAGGTCTTACCCTAACCTAGGACTAATTTTAGGTTTAACTCTAGGCGTAACCCTAGGCTTTACTCTAAGCTTTAACCTAGGTCTTACCCTAACATAAGTCTTACTCTAGACCTTACCAGAGGTCTTACCCTAACATAGGTCTTATCCAAACCTAGGCCTAAGTCTAGGTTTAACTCTATGATTTAATCTAGGTCCTACCCTAGGCCTTAACCTAGTTCTTACCCTAACCTAAGCCTAATTCTAGGTTTAACCTTAAGACTTAACCTAGGTCTTACCCTAGATCTTACCCCAACCTAACTCTAGGTTTACATCTAGGCCTTACCATATGCCTTACCCTAGGTCTTAGCCTAGTCCTTACCCTAGGTCTTACCCTAACCTAGGCCTTACCATAGGTCTTACCATAGGTCTTTCCCTAACCTAGGTTTAACTCTAGGCTTAACCCTAGGATTTACCATAGGTCTTACCCTAACCTAGGCCTAACTCTAGGTTTTACTCTAAGCCTTACCCTAGGTCTTACGCAAACCTAGGCCTAACTATAGGATTAACTCTAGGCCTTAGCCTAGGTCCTACCCTAGGTCTTAACCTAGGTCTTACCCTAACCCAAGCCTAATTCTAGGTTTAACCTTAGGCCTTAACCTAGGCCTTACCCTAACCTAGAACTAACTCTAGGTTTACATCTAGGCCTTAGCATATGCCTTTCCCTAGGTCTTAGCCTAGTCCTTACCCTAGGTCTTACCCTAACCTAGGCCTAACTTTAGGTTTACATCTAGTCCTTACCCTAGGCCTTATCCTAGGTCATAACCTAGGCCTAACCCTAGGTCTTACCCTAGGTCTTACCCAAACCTAGGCCTAACTCTAGATTTAACTCTAGGCCTTAACCTAGGTCCTACTCTAGGCCTTAACCTAGGTCTTATACTAACCTAGGACTAACTCTAGGTTTAACTTAAGGCCTTAACCTAGGTCTTAACCTATGTCTTACCCTGAGACTTACTCTATGTCTTACCCTAGGTCTTACCACAGTCCTTACCCTAGTCCTTACCCTAGGTCTTACCCTAGACCTTACCGTAGGTCTTACCCTAACCTAGGTTTAACTCTAGGCCTTAACCTAGGTCTTACCTTAGGCCTTTCCTTAGGTCTTACCCTAGGCCTTACTCCAACCTAGGCCTTACCCTAGCCCTGACCCTAGGTCTTTCCCTAGACCTTACCCTAGGTCTTACTCTAACCTAGGTTTAACTCTAGGCCATAACCTAGGTCTTACCCTAGGCCTTTCCTTAGGTCTTACCCTAGGTCTTACTCCAACCTAGGTCTTACCCTAATCCTTACCCTAAGTTATGATATAATTCTATTACAAAATGTATATCATGATATAACTCTATTATAATATGTTTATCATGATGTAACTCTATTATAACATGTTTATCATGATATAACTCTATTATAACATGTTTATCATGATATAACTCTATTATAATATGTTTATCATGATATAACTCTATTATAATATGTTTATCATGATATAACTCTATTATAATATGTTTATCATGATATAACTCTATTATAATATGTTTATCATGATATAACTCTATTATAATATGTTTATCATTATATAACTCTATTATAATATGTTTATCATGATATAACTCTATTATAATATGTTTATCATTATATAACTCTATTATAATATGTTTATCATTAGTTTATCATGATATAACTCTATTATAACATGTTTATCATAATATAACTCTATTATAACATGTTTATTATGATATAACTCTATTATAACATGTTTATCATGATATAACTCTATTATAACATGTTTATCATGATATAACTCTATTATAACATGTTTATCATGATATAACTCAATTATAACATGTTTATCATAATATAACTCTATTGTTACATGTTTATCATGATATAACTCTATTATAATATGTTTATCATGATGTAACTCTGTTATTACATGTTTATCATGATATAACTCTATTATAACATGTTTATCATAATATAACTCTATTATAACATGTTTATCATGATATAACTCTATTATAACATGTTTATCATGATATAACTCTATTATAATATGTTTATCATGATATAACTCTATTATAATATGTTTATCATAATATAACTCTAAACTCATTCGCTTAGATATCTCGGTCCTGTACTTAGAACATATAACTACTTTATAATAGTTTAGGGGTGTCGATCCAGCATATCCATACCGACCTCCAGCTCTAAAATTTCGACCAATGTGTCCCTGATACACATAAAAATGCTAGAAAACCAATCCCTTTAAAACTGCTATTGTCTACAACTGTATATAAATTCAAAAGAAACTAGAACATATAGCCCACATATGCTGAAAATGACAAATACCTAGCTTTGCTAAAAAGACCAAAAAAACATCCTGAACCGTGGGACGGTACAAATACAGTGCGTATCGAGTCTACTACATCGGTGAAATATAACATCTTGAATTCATAGTAGGAGATTTGT